GCTGCAAGATTTTCCAAAGGTCCTAGTATAATGTGAGCATGCTCTTTACCACCAACATATTCACAGAAATTACCAAGTTCTTCAGCTAATGCAAGTAGTACTTCATCTTCATCATCGATTGATTCTAAGGTAAAAAAATTAAATATATATATATATTCATTAAAAATCTTGGATCACATTAAAATGTCTTAAAGTTGATCGTTAATATAAAGATTTTTCGCAGATGCACTGCAAATATTCTGAAGAATAAGTCATTATGCTTAATCCATAAAGGAAGTTACCCCTGGCACAAGATAAAGGGTAGTATCGCGTATCATGGAAAAGTATCACGAAAGAGTTTGGTCTTTACTTACCGTCAAGAAATGGTATTAGTTCATCCCTAGTCCTTTGAACGCCCAAAGCCAAAGCAATGGTCGAAAGTCGTCTGATGGCGTTTAATCGAAAGTTGACATCATCAGCTCTCAATTCATCCAATAAAACTGCAATTGGATATAGGCTATCTTCAGTTTCTTCCATATTCATTTTATATAAGAGAATTAAAAGTTATAATAAAACGTTTTATAGATGAATTTATGAGAGGTACATTAAAATGATGGCCGAAATTTTTTCTTAATTCGACAAAAAATTGAGATTTATAATCACAAACTTGAATTGGTTGATGATCACTAAAAAATCATAAAATACGTATATATTGCACAAAAATTTATTACGTACAAAGTGAATCTTGTTTGTAGAATATATAATGCACAAAAAAATTTACTTTATTACGAAGTGAATCCTGTCATAACAGCATTCATCATTTTAGTCATAACTGTTATAAACAGAATTACTGTATTTAAAATGATTATTGATTTATATAGTAAATATAGAAAATTAAGGATGTTAAAAAAAAATATTAAACAAAATATATACTGTAAAACACTTTATGGATACGTACTACAGAGTAGGTTTCTTTACTAAAATTTATATATGGCCTTTATTTTTACAGGCATTAGAACATCAAATAACATTCAGCACGTTACTGGAATTTTATATGACGTAAAGAGATAGCATACCCTGACTTTCCAAATATCACCTACACTCTTCATATATTTGACACATTATCAATTATCATTATTCTGTTATTGGTTATTTAGATATATACTTATAACCTCCCTCTCCAAAGCTTTGTATATTTTCTAACTCTAGGTTTGATTTTAGTGAAATAATATAGCAATCCAAAAGCTGCACCACCTAAATGACCCGCACTATCTATTTTTCCATATGATACATTCCAAGCTCTATAAATATCATAAAGAGCGTATAAACCTACAACTATAATTGCAGGTGCTGGAATTATAAAAAATACAAGAAATGTTGCATTTGGAAATGTACATGCGAATATTGTTGATAATGCCATTAAGCTTCCTGATAAAATAAGATAATGAACAGTTAAAAGAGAAATGATATAAGTGAGTAGAAAATAATGCTATTTAATTTACCTGAAGCGCCCATGCTTCCAATATAATGTCTTCTATAAACTTTTTCATTATAAGACGCGGATGATTTTCTTTTACGAGTGTAAGCAGTATGTAATAGATAACTTAGGGAAGCTGATAAAGCGGACCCAAAATAAATGAACAAGAATTGTCTTCTACCCAACATTTCAAGAATCTTTGAAAAATGTGCGATAAAATAAAAATGAACCAAAGATTATTGTTGATCATGACTAAAAAAATAAATAGAAACCTTTTCACACACCTGTTTACCAAACCCCCATAAAACAAACATATTCACAATCAAATGATCCAAATCTTTATGACTAAAAGCGCAAGTTATAACACTCCACCACCTCCCATCTTTCACATTCTCAATACTGACAACAAAATTTCTTGATAGGAAATTCAAGTAAGTAGGATTCCTGTATTCAACAGCATTCATTTCGGCTAGTCTCCAAGAAAGAAAAACTAGTATATTGGAAGTAATTATGTAATGAATCATAAGATCTTCTGAACCATAGTTCTTGAATGGATGAAAATGTTTCAAGGACCTTCCATAGAATGAATTTTTAAAACTTGTCAAAGAGGTTTTAAAGATACGCGGATGGTTTGTAAGATAAGATATTGTTGGAGAACGAAAGAATTTATTTGTGTGTTGTGATAACGTTGTAATCGAACAATATCGAGACAATCCTCTATTGATGGTAGAGGTTAGTGCTTGTTTACTACCACCTAATTGGTGTCGAAGTAAAAAAGACGACCCAAAAATGGTTTGGGTATTGATATGAGTATTAATAAATTTAAATTTCATATTGTTTATTTTGTTGACGTTCCTAAGCTGCGCGTGGTTAAAATGTGGTGCAGAATTAAGAATAGAGGTACTAAATTTAGCTATACATTTCATCATGCAACACTTATGAACTAATTTAATTTATCGAAGACAATATGACTTTTAAGCTTTCAATAGCGAACCAACAATACGAAATAGATCATAATATTAAAGTTAAAAAAGATGTGTGTGTGTGTAGATAATCAACAAACATTGAGATATATTGTTATTACTAAATTAGTTTTATAGGTAAATTAAACTAGACAATATAGTGATTGTCTATCACGTGCCTTATAAATAACGTTTATCGTTATTGAAATTTTTGTTTTATAAATTAAGATGTTTTTCACTTTAAATTTTAAAATTAACCAAAAACTTTATTTTTTCTCAACAATAAATTCAATAACTCAACGATGGTACCAGCATCCAACTTGATTAGCAGCGCTAATCCGTTCACTCATGCTCTAGTTCTGCAGTTCTTAGAATCAAACAATTATAAGAATACCTTAGCAGAATTCCGTAAAGAGGCTAATGAAATTATCGAAAATAATCCAAAATTATTTGATGAATTGCCTTCTAAACCCTTGACCGCGATCGTACAAGATTATATTTTAGAGGAAATGAGAAATGAAGTTGAGAAACTAGATTTGGTTAATAGGTAAGAAGTTAATAATAATTAATAATATTAATTAATATTACGTTATCGTGTCTAATTATTTCAAAATTAAAAAATTAAAAATTAAAAAATTACAGCAAGATAGACGATGATTTATATACTCCTGAAATCACTATATATCCTCGTTACATCTGCGAAACGTTCTCCCAAATTCACAGTTCAAACATTCTCACTGTTCGTACTCAAAATATTCAACTCACAAATTATAATGATAATGACTATGAAACCGTTTCCATTCCCATGATAATCACCGGTTCAGCTGATAAATCCATAAAATTCACTTCTCTACTTACCGGTGATATACATAATGTTTGTGATGTTCACAAGGGTGGAGTTCTTGCTATTGATTTTCATCCCATTTATACAAATGTTATGTTGAGCGCTTCAATGGACGGTAGCGTCGCGTTAATTGATTCTTCTATTATGGAAGTTAAACAAATGTTTAAAGATCATAATAAATATGTTGTTAGAGCAAAGTTTTCACCGGATGGCGCTATGTTCTTTACTGCGAGTTATGATCATACTTTGAATATTTATAGTATTAGCGGTTCTTCAACGCCTACACGTCTTTATTCAATGCAGACTTCTCCACTAATGCCCACAACTCCTTCGACACCACTTACACCTTCCACCCCACTTCCTCTGTTTTCTAAAATACACACTATAACCTTTGAATCAAACATAGAATCTCTTTGTATTCTTCCAGATTCAAGTTACTTAATCGTGGGAATTCGTGATTCTAATTATCTTCACTACGTTAGTCTTCAATATACTAAATCTAAACCCCAAAATTTTGAAATCACGAAACACAATATGAATGCAAATGGTGATGACTGGGTATCATTTACAGCTATGGACATTATCGCTAGTCCCAATAATGGTGGTAAATACTTATTAGTCGCAACCGATGATGAAAATGGTAGAATCATCATGTTTAAAACATTTAATACATTTAATACAACCAATTATGACATTGGAGATCAGCAAAATGAAATTAACAAGAATGAGGGTATTACGTCTTCAACATTGATCCAATTAGCAAACTTTTATGACATACCTTCACCAGAATCGTCCCCTATCTCTTCATCTCCATCGATCCCTGTAGCAACTGATTTCTCTCGAAAATTTACAAATCCGAAATTACTCTGGCATTCATCAGGAAAATATTTTTATGCTTGTGGTATAGATGCTTATCCACGTGTCTACTCAATTGAATCCAAAAAACTAGTTGAAAAATTAAAAGGCCATGCTTGTAACAATGGTGATTCAAAAATGGGTAATTCTGAATCTGACAATGATAATTTAAGCGGACACTCTGATGTTGTGCGTGGAATGTGGTACGATGAAGAGAGAGATTTGTTGATTACCTGTGGTTTTGATAAGTGTGTGAAAATTTGGGGAAGTGATGAATTGTGCAGAGAATTGATGAAAGATTTGAAAGAAGGAGGAGAGAAAAAGAGGATATTGTTTGTGAGAAGGAATACCATTGTTTAATGAAATGTAAATTATCTTATCACTTATAAATCACTTGCCATTATCGTGATTATACTAAACATCTTTTAAATTAATATAAATAATAGTATAAGTGTCCATAAGTATCACGAAGAATATAGGGTTAATATAATGTTAATTAGATAAAATTTTATTTCATCTAATTCGTGCCGCATAAATATTAATATTTTAATAAAAATTTATTATTCTCACATTATATAATAATTTTGTACAATGAAAAAATTTTATATAATGAAATTTATTTTTAAATAATATAATGAATTCTCAAATTATATAAAGGTTTATTAATACTATATACTATTATATGTATTATGATAACTGAGTAAAAATTTTCATTTTTTTAAAACACCAACACTGCAACCATCTTCTTCGCCAAAGTAAGCAATTTCTGCCATCCCGACAAATAATCCAACTTCTACAACACCAGTCAACAATTTAATTCGTTTTAAAACTTCTGAAGGTGAATTAATAAACGTAAGATTATCATCTCCAAGAAATTGTTGTCCATCCAATTTACCAAAATATGCATCTACAACAAAATTTCCATTATCTGTAATAATAGGTCCTGCTTTATTTTTTGCCATACGAAGATTAAAATTTTGACAACCTAGGAGTTTAAGAGAGTTAAGGACTAAGGTGTAACAGAACGGGATTACTTCTATTGGAATGCCTTTGATCCACTATTATATATTAATCCCAATATTAATTAAAAATTAATTAAAAATAAAGTATATTTTTATTAAATTTACCTTTTCACCAAGAACAGTAGATCTTTTAGTATAATCTGCAACAATTATAAATTTTTTGGAGATTTCTGCTACAACTTTTTCTCGTAAGTGACAAGCACCACCACCTTTAATTGCATTTAAATTTTCATCAACCTATTATAGGTTAATTAGGTTAATTATGCATATAAAAAATTGTAATCAATTATGTATGTAATGTGCACATAAATATGCATATATAAAATAAAACTGACTTCATCAGCGCCATCAATTGTGATATCAATTTCATGGTATCTAAAAGAACATAAAGTGATGAAACCTTTTAACTTTCACCCAAACCAAAGCTATTAGAAAAAATAATTTCACAAACTGATCAATTTCTCCCAAATTTAATCCATTATTGATAATTAATAGTCTACTTTGAAAACTGGTTGGTATAAAAACACACTGATTTAAATCTAATTCCTCCAACTTTTGGTCCGAGTTCTCGTTTTTTTCACCTGAATTGTCATTCTTTTTAAAGTTTCCTCTTTGTACGATACGTTCAACAACAAAAACAACGGTTGAACCTGATCCAATCCCAATTATTCTTGTATCAGAATTCAAATGTTTATCAACTGCCTCATAAGCCGCCTGACGTTTTGAATTTGTTGACATTTTTTTTTTTATGAAAAGTAAAGTGAGAAATGGTAATGGTATGAAAAGTTTAGCTAAAGCTTGAATAGGCCAAACAAATAGTGCAACATTAGCCTCATATCGATATACATACGTTACGTATTTGAGGCACGGAAATAAAACTACCTAAAACTGAAATTATATCGATATGTATGGAATACCAAAAGCAATCGCTTCACCGAGGAAGATTTACCGGGCCATTTCCCCGGTGTGACGTTTGAATCTTGTAAGCATTAATCTTTAGTTACAAATTTTTTTCGACTTTATTAATTGTGAATTTAAAACTAAAAATAGCTCTAATTCAATATTGCTCTGAATACATAATAAATTTTGACAAATAAAACGTAATTTAATCTAAAATTATCAAATTCTTAAATATTTACATTTATGTATTAATAAATTCCAGGAATAAAGATGTAAGGAACCCGCCTACAATATTCTTCCCAATCTTTCCCATACTTTTTAGCGCATCTTTGCATATCTCTGGTAACCCTGTGTGTTAACACAGCTACAAAAAATATTGGATAAAAATACGGGATGACAGTATTAAATCCAGTAATAAACCCCCAGGCAAAAGCCATCATCAAATCGGCCGTATAATGAATCTTACGTGCAATTCCCCACCATCCACTTGTCAATAACAAGTTTCCAGATTTTGTTTTTATATAAGTTGGATTTTTCAATGTTCCCCATGGAAGTTGTGGGAATGTGTGTCTCGGAATATAACTACCATTAATTATCATTCTAAATCGATTTTTCTGCGAATTAGCCGTATCCCTGTTACATTAATAAGATTTACAATATATACGTTAAGAATTGAAGTTTTGA